GTCACGTTACGTTCTGAGCTGAGTAACTGCTGGGGCTATTTTTACTCCAGCTCAGCAAAGCTTCCTTCTCGCTGCTGCCACCGCCACCGCCGCTCGCTGCGGACCCAGGGGCAAAGGATGGGGACATGGTGAGTGGCAGAGGGCGAGGGCAGGGGAAGCGGTGTTTGGGGTGGTGCCAGTGGAAAGGGGGACCGCTGCCCACCTAATCAATTTGGAAACAAAAATAGTATATGCCTTTTGAAAAACAACAGATGACCTGTTATGTGTGGTGCATTCACACACACAGACGTATATATTTATTATACTGGGAGAGGGGAAGGGGGGAGGGAGAGAAATTCCTTTCGAGTGCTATTCACCAGTCTGGAAAAATAAAGAAGGAAAGCAGAACATTTTTTCCTTTCATCAAAACAGGAAAGAGAGGGGGAATGGGGTGGGGAGCAGATCCATAGACATAATGGATGGTTGCCAGTGTAAGGAAATTGTTCCCTTCTACCCTAAACTTGGGGGTTGGGGTGGGGGAGAAATACATGGCAGTATGATCAGGGAAGGCTGCATCCCCTCCTCCCCACTTGATGCAGGAACGTGTGTGCACACGGGAAAGTGCTGGGAAATCAGTGCCCCCCAGCCTTGCCTTTTCCCTTTGAATCCTGCTCGAGCTGCACATCCGCAGAGATGTGGAATGCCTTTGCCTTCTCCTTCACCTCAAAGCACGGGGCATGAAGGCACAGCCGGCACCAGCCTCTCCGCCTTTGTCAGGGGCTGGGCTCTGCCCTCTGCCTGTGCCTGCGTGCTCGTCCCCCTTCCCCATCCTTTCCTCTCCGCCAGGTTCCTGCCAGGAATGGGTGAGATGGAGGAGGTGGTGAGGGGCTGGGGGAATCCCTCTGACGGAGAGAGACAGGCAGAGGGGGGTGGTTCCCAGGGAAAGCCTGGCAGGTCCCATCAAACGCCTGCTCCCCAGGTGACACCTTCCCTTTCCCCTGGAGCCGCTGGCTCTCTCAGGGCTTCACTCATCCTTGGAAAGCATTTTCCCTGCCAGTGCCAGGGGCGGGAAGGCAAATTATGCAAGCCCTGGGTACCCCGAGGCTATGCCTTTCTCCAGCGCCAAATACAAACACCGAGCTCCTTGCCTGTCTCTGTCTCCTTCCTTTGGTGTCTCTTCTCCTTTCCTCCTTCTTCCTCCATTACACTGAACTCAGTCTTTAGGAAGTCGGGGCAGGTCCCGTGTCAGCACCTCTGGGGCAAATGGTGTAAAAGACAGTGTGAGCTACACACAATAACCCCGTCCTCACCGCCCGGGACACTCGGGATAAACCCCACTCAGCCCGGGGGCTGCCGTGTAGAACCAGCTCGCCCACAGAACGCATCTCCGGGTGTAAACGAGGTGTAAAGCTTACTCTAGGTGCCTCGTTTCGGTGCCTCCGCGTCTCCCCTCCATTGACGGCTGCGGCAGCCCCACGGCGTGGGCGCAGGGATTGCTCATCCTTCTCCTGAACTTGGAGACCGGAGCAGCAGCAACACCTAAGTTAGATACCTTGAGTGGGCGGGCTGACTACACGTTGGCTGTCAACACCTCCTAATTTCTTTCCATTGATTGTTTTCAAAATAGGACTCATCATGGAGAGGCTGAGACATCTCAGCTGTTCAGACTGAGCCTTGCTTTCCATTGTAAGCCCTGTTTTTCTTCCTGTTGTTTCATAATTCTCTACCCCCTCTGAAAAAAAATATGTAATAAATTAAAAAAAAAAAAATAAATCACCCCTCACTTCATGCCGTTGTGGATGGTGGCTAGTACGATCATTTTTTCCACCAACATGAGATGAGGGGAGAGCAGCCTTGCAGCAAGGAACTGCCTATTGTCCTCGGACACGTGCTGCTCTCCTCCCTAGTGATAAGGGAATAACCAGGGAGACGAGTTCAGCTGTTTGCAGGTTTGAGAGATGTAGTGGTGGTGAAAGTGTTTTAGTAAGAAATCCTGGTGCAGGCTCTTAGGAAATATGGTTTTGTTGTGGTTTGTCTGCAGGGCCATTGCCAGCTAGCGCAGTTGCAACCAGATCCTGTCAAGTTGTGATGCTCTAATGGGACATTTTTATGGCCCAGACACTTCATGTAGCCTCAAAATACCTTCCCAATATATGGCATGGTGGTTTCAAACTCTTATCCTGTGACATCTGGGACACCAATAGCCCTGCAGGCCTCCACACCTACCCCCCAGGCCAGGTGAGGTGGAGATCCAGTCATCCCCATTAGTTTTAGGGGTTTGTGGGACAGATGTCAAACTAATTTCACAGAAGTAAGAGAATCAAAGGAGCCCCCAGCAGACTCAAGGCACAGCAGTTTTGGGTGCATGCACCGCTATTGAACTCGGTGCCAGTGAGACTGACCCAACCAGTCTAAAGGCATCACTAGAGAAAAATCTGTCCCTGTCTTAAAAACAGAAAGAGTAAGGAAAAACCACTGAAGCCTGAGCAGCTTGAGTATCACTTTGCTCTATTTCCAGGCAGGGTCATAGGTAGATGATTAGTCAAATTCCAAACATCCTCTTCCTTGCTGTCTGGAGGTTCAACAGGGACTAGGTTTTTGTTTCTGATGTTGAGCTTCTAAAAACTGCCCAGCATCATCCACATGAAAATAAATAACTCTATTTCCATCCTATCTAGCATGTAATAGAGCCGGATATTTAAAAAAAAAGATAAATGCACACTGCACATATCTCCCCCAAAATCAGGCCCTGCAGCAGCTCTTGTTGCTACCAAGCGAGAAATTTGCAGCAGTCCCTGCTAGCTTTCTGCTGAGACCTTCTCCTCTCCGGCAGCAATATCTCTCCCTGCTGAGGAATTTGATCAGCCCTCCCACACGCAGGCTGTTCTGTCCTGGCCAGGCAGCCACTACAGCGTGGGGGACTCCCCACACCGGTGGTGTGCTGGTGCTGGAGCCACGCCAGCTGTTTCGAGGGCAGAGAACCCTGGGCCTCCACTGACCCCTTAGGAACCTTAAAAACATAACGGGGTCGTGGACATTCAGGACCCAGCTGTCCTCAGATCCCTCTACAAAGACAGAAGGACTTCTCAAATCCTACACTGCTAAGGAGCCCAAGGCTACAGTGTTCCTTTGGCTGGTACCATCTGGAAAGAGATGGACCGAGGCCCTTTTAAAACCTTTTGTTTGAAGCCCTCTACAGATTTCAAAAGTTGTTTCAGCACCCAGGTGGACATCAGGGTTGCAGCTCCACCCTGCTGGGGGGTTAGAGCCAAGTTATCATCACTTGAAATGGCTGGTACGCTGCTGGCGGGCCAGGATGGAGAATGAGGGGAATTCTAAGAGCCTCCTGAGGAATTTGGGGTGGGACAGGGCTAACATGGCTGTAGCATCAAAGATAAAGTCTTGTTAAGGTCTCGGGTGGTGGAAATGAGTAAAGGTATGCCTTGCATTTCTACTTCCTCCCCCTTGAGCTCCAGTATTGGAACCGAGCCACTTGAGACGCGGTTTGAGGGACTCCCAGGACCCTCCTTATCCCTGCAGTTGTGCACCTCAGATGGCCTGGGCTTTGAGTTGACACGGCTCTGAACATCTCCCCAGCTGTGGAGAAATCTGCCCATTCTCCCTCTGGGTTAGGGTGAACGAAGGTGACCCAACATCACCTTGACATGCTGCCTGAGAGGACTCGGGCTATTTTAAGAAAGCTATGTGGAGGACCCCCACCAGTGTTCCTCGTGTCCCTGTGCTTCCTGACCAACACCCACATCCATGAGACCAAAGTCAGGTTCAGGGGCGTAGCTAGCCAAGCTGGGAGGTGCTGTCAGGCGCCTGCTACAGAGCAGCATTTGGGGGGCTGCCTGCTGCTCAGCTCCAGTGGCTGCTCCTCCTGCACCCAGACACTTGGGATGGTGCCTACGGGAGTGCTGGTGCAAGACCCTGTGTTTTAGAGACACGGGGAGACTTGCAGAGAGTCTAAGGGAGCATGTGTGATGCTGTGAGATGAGGCCACCGGTATGCCAGTGGGTGTATGTATGTGAGAAGGGAAGAGAGAGGGGGAGAGTGAAGGAGAACACATGGATGCCCAGGGATGTGTGAATGAGACAAAATTTGCACGTAGCTGTGCATGCGAGCGGCTCCAACAGAAGCGTGTGCGTAGCATAGAAAAAGCAGGGAAGATGCTTGGGATTCAGAGCGAATGCCTGCCGAGTGCCTGCGGTGCATGACGGTGCAGGAATGTATCGGTGGATACGAGCCTGCACAAAGATGGTGCAGAGATCCCTCCTGGTCGTGCCTGGAGTGAGCTCCGCGAGTGTGCGAGCCGGTGCCGGGAGATCACTCGCATGTACGTGAGAGGGTGTTTTTTCTACAGGATGTGACTCTTTCTTGAACTCACCTGTTAGCAGCCTTCCCCTCCCCATCCCTCTCCCCCCCACAGCAAATATCTGCTCTCTTAATTTCCCTTCAGATGTTTATTGCATTGTGGAGATAATCATGCAGCAAAATACCTCCGGGTGCCACAAGCAACACCAGATTGTCTTATAGCAATGTGTAAATTTCTCTGGCTTCTTTTTTTTCCCTGCACACAAAGAGATGTAAGATTAAAGTCATCTCTCTCCCTGGAGCTAGTGGTGTAGCAGGGCAAGGAAGGCGGCGAGTGGAGCTTAGAGAAATGGGCTCCAGACTGAAACAGCGAGAACCTGAGGCCAAAAAAAATAACAAACTACCGTGCCGGGAACTCCTCTCTTCTTATCTCTTGCCGAGGAGGCAGGAATTTCTGTCCCCATTCCTCACGCGATATTAAAGCCACATTATACAGGTTGCTGCAGCATTAGTCATTTTTAATTAATTTATCATTTAAATTAACACACTTTTTATTTTGTCAGCAATGAACTGCTACTCCCTCACTAGATTTGTTCCTTGATACCCGGCCAAGAGGAGGATGGCAAGTTATGCTCCACCCATCTCCTCTCCCTCATAAAAGGAGCAGCCCCGAGTGCCAGCTTAGTCTCTCTTGCAGCTCGCAGAAAATAAAGACCCGTCGGCTCACTCGCCTTTCCGGCAATTTTTACCTTTTCTGCAATTTTTTGTTGTTGTTTTTCCTTTCTTGTTGCAGCAGAGTGCAGGAGGCAGCACCAGTGGCTCCACTTTGAGGCTTGTCAAGGCTCAGCGCACGCACACAAACACACGCTCACAACCCAGAGCAAAATCATTTGCTCTCACCTGTCTCCAAACCCAAAGCAAACCTCCCGTCCAAGCAATCTGCCAACGCTTGGAACGAGAAGGCACGCGAGCCAGAGTCTAATGTAAGGGGAAGAAATTCAGTGTACACTGGCAACTTTTCTCTGAAAAGCAAGTGGCCAAAAGGAAGGAAAGGAGCATTTTAAGAAGAGGACAACTTAAGGAAGAAGATTTCATTTTCTGGATTTCACACCAAACTTTGGAAAACTTTTTTTTTCCTTTTAGTTATTATTCTGCGCACCTTCTTCTAAGAACATTGAGACATTGTTACCTGCATGTAAAAGCTTTTACAGATACACATTTTTTTTAAAGGGAAGAAAACCAAGCGGAAGAATAGCATGTGGACCACCTAGCCGAAGGCACCGCTGAAGCATCCCTTGCGGCAAGGGGGACCCAGACTCTGGATGTGTATAATTCCGAGAGACTGCATTTTTTTCCCACCGGGCTTATGAGATAGCGCAGAGGCAGGCGAGTCACCGCGAATTACTTCTGTCTCCCCTTACCACCTCCACCTCCACGTCCTCTTCCAAGGGCTCCTGCGCCTCTCCCACCTCCTCCCGGCTGGCAGGGGACATGGGAACGCGCAGCGCCCTCGATGCCTGAGGCCGGGCGGCCGCGGGGCTGTCTGCGGGAAGCGCTTCCCTCCCGGGGCTCGCCGTCCATGTGCCCGCAGCCGGCGGGGCCTGGAGTCGGGATGAATTTCGGCGTGGTCTTCGCGTTCATCCTCTCGCTGCCCCTGGCCCGCATGGAGGTGAGTTTCCGCCGCGGGCAGCGGGCGGTGCTGCCGAGCTGCCGGCCCCGCGCTGGGGGAGAGCCGGCGGCGGCTCCGGCTCGCAGGTGCGGCGGGCGCAGCCCGGGAGCGGCGGGGGCGCGGAGCCCGGGGGCGCGGTCCCGGCCCCGCTCCGCGGGAAGGGCTGCGGCGGGGCCCGGCAGCGCTAATGGCGACCGGAGACCGCCACCCCCCGCCCGGAGGGCAGCGCCCGCTGGAGCGGGCACACCTCGGGAGCGGGCACCCTCTGGAGCGGGCAAACCTCTGGAGTAGGCACCCCTCTGGAGCAGGCACCCCTCTGGAGCGGGCAAACCTCTGGAGCGGGCACACCTCGGGAGCGGGCACTCTGCTGGAGCAGGGGCTCCCGTCAGGACAGGCATGCCGAGGGGGGCTCGCCTGGGAATACACCCACCCCCGTGTCTGCCTCTGGCTGCAGGGTCAGGGGAGACCAGGCTGAAGGAGACCCTGGTTAATGTGGGAGCAGGGATGCTGCTGGCCAGCCCCGGAGAATCCGCAGCTTCCTGCCCTGCCTCGCCCAGGGCTGTCACCCCGGGGTGGGCGCTGGTTCCCTCCAGCCTCTCACCCTACCCGGTGATCTTGGCATCATGGCAGCGCGGGTGCACCAGCGACCAGGGCCCACTTAACACCTCTGGAATAACGCACAGTGTGAAATCCACCCTGGCATCGCCAGGGGGGCAGTGGAGAAAGGGCGTGGAGCTTTGGAAAGCGGGAGGAAAGGGACGGTGTGAGTAGAGGCACCGCACTTTGAGCAGCCCGCACGGTTATTCAGCAAGGTGTGTGCCCAGCTGGGGGAAGGGGCAGGAGGGGAGTGCCCGCTGTGCTTCCAAGGTCATGCAAGCATCGTGCCCTGCAGGCCTGGATGCGCTGCTCAGGAAGGAGCCCAGCGGAGGGTAAGGGCCAGGTGGTGGATTTGAATGACCACCCCAAGCTGCTTTGGTTTCCCTGTGTGGAAATTGAAGCTTCATCCCCAGCCCTGGTGGAGGAAAAGGAGCCCCAAACCCCCAAATCCTTTTACCTCTGCTGTCACATTTCATCATCTGATTGCATGCAGATTGAGGGGCTCAGAAAACCCCTAACATTCCCACACAGCGCTTGGACTGTGGGCTGGATCTGCAGCTTGACTGTCAGGGGCAGGAAATAACCACCTTCCACCAAAACTTTCCCTTCTTTGCATCATTTTTCTCTTTTCCTTCCTCATTTTTGGGCAGGGTAGGTGGGTGCACCTCTCATGGGATGCAAAGAAGAAGTTGGGTGCAAAACATCACGTCACCTCACTATGGGCTCATTTTGTCCTTGCCCAAGCCGCAAAAGGAAGCAGTTAGAGCTGTGGGCTACCCAGTGGTCATGTTTGTTTTGGGGAGAGGATGGTATTTCCTCTGTGGATGGCTCAGATCTCTTTCTCTCAGGCAGCATGAAACATCAGCTAGGGTTGCCACTGGGAAAGGGTGAAGATGGAAGTCTCCGGTCCCAAGGAGCTGTTACTCGGTTGCCATAATCAGACTGAGACACTGCACAGCTCTATGACAGCCTAGTAGAGTTAGAGTCTGGTAATTCTGGCCCGAGGTTTCATGGGAGGAATTGTGATATTTGTCACTGTATGGCAGGAGAACCAAGAACATTTCTGCTTGGGTAGATGGTTCAGCCTGCAGCCAGTGCTCAGTTACTTTGAGGGCAGTGAGTGGCACCCTCTGCACCAGGCACAGACAGCGCAGCTCCCACCAGGCTGCTGAACCAGAGTCGTCCTCTGAATGGGGCTTGCAGATCCTCCCCAGCCCTGCCGGAGAAAGTGCATGAGGAGCAGTAGCTCCCCAGATCAACAGAGGCCCTGAGCAAAGAGATGGAGCCTCCTGAGTCCCTCTCCCTCTTTGATCACACCCATCTGGAGCTGGAGGGCCCTGGAGCTCTTCCAGCCGGAGGGAGTACAAGCCTCAGCGGGAAGGTATTTGCCAGTTGGGAAGCGAGGATGCTAAACCTATTTGCATTTGCCCCACGGGCTGTAATAGTTGCCTTGCAACATTTACAGAGATGGGCCGAGCCAGGGGTGGTTGTGCCGGGGTGAAGCCCCACTGGCACTGCTTTCTGGAATTCCCAAGGAATGGGGTGCGGCCGGGTGCTTGCTTATAGCCTCGGCCCAGCTCCCCATTGCGTCTTCCTGCTGCAAGGCTCCGGCGTTCTTCCCTAGTCTTCCTAGCACGAGGCAGTGACAAGGACAAAGCAGTGGAAGCCGGGATGGATGACACGTCTGGGGTGAGCTGGTGGAAGGAGCCAGGCGAGTCGTCCCTGCCTCCCTCTCACTGTCAGCTGATGTGCGGCAGCAGGAGGGAATGACAGGGCTCCTGCGCTGCTTCCAGAGCTACTGGTACACAACCAGCCCCGGGAGTGGAAATGCCTCCAGCCTCTCAGGGGAGGTGTGGGGGGAGTGAGGAGGAGCAGTGGAGTCCCCATTGAAATGGAAAAAGGGTGGGTAGGTCTGGCTGTATTTTAGGAACACGGACTAGATCAAATGTTGTTTGATTATTTTAAGGGGGGAAAACATAAGCTGCGACTCCAAGTGGAGGGGGTTCACGTGAAGAGGGTTGTACCTGCTGCAGAGTACTCTGACAGGCGTTTGTCAGGGTCCTCCTGTAGCCAGGAGTGGTGCTGGAAGGGTGGAAGCCCTGTGCCGGGGGAGTGCTGGTGGCAGGTGCTGCTGGTCTTGCCCTCTGCCAGGGAATGCGGCGGAGTCTCCCCTCAGGGTCCACACGTCAGCTTCAGAGGGAATTAAAAAATGCTGTTTGTTTGGGGTTTTTTGCCTGGCTGATCACTCGACACCCTGCTGCCAAGATCCTTTGCCATGGTCGGTGTGGAGGTGCTCAGAAAGTCCTCCTCTCCTGTGCAGAGGACTGAATAGGTGGGTGCCTCCCTGCCCTTCACAAACTGGTGCTGCTGATACCATTCTGTCCTTCTATGTGCAGTAACACCAGCTTAGAAAAAGGAACTGGAGGAGTCCTCACCTCGGGAGTATCCTTGTCTGATTTCTTTGAGCCCTGAGGGTCTGCCTTCCCTGCTGGTTGCACAATCTTTGCTCCCTCCTCCTCCTCTGTGCCTACCTTCAGGCAAGACTGTGAAACCCTCGCCAGAGGGTGTGGACATTGCGTATTCTCTGCACCAGCTTGGCAGCTGCTGATGGCAAGGGAACCTTTCAGCATCCCTGGTGCTCAAAGGCAGAAGTTGGGCAAAAACTCCAGAGCGAGAGGTGGTGGGGCTAGGGAGGAGGCAGATTTTGGGAGAGTGCATGTGTGGGGAGCGGGCACAGGGGAATTGCTGCACCTGCGTTTATTTGCAGTGGCCACACAGTGCTGCTGGACATCTGGGAGGAGGGGAGCAAAGCTGATGTGCTGAGGCCACAGAGCCACAGCCACAGTGCAGGCAGCAGCTGCTCTGCTGCCTTCTGTCAGATGTGCCATGGCCCCTCAAGCACCAGCAACCAGCACAAGAAAGGGAAGTGAAGGTTCCTGCCAAAGGATTGGCAGATTGGGGGGTGCCCTTGCGACTCAGAGTCAGGACCTGGGGAGCAGAGGGAGGGAGGGAAAAACAAACTTTCTTCTAAGAATTCAGGGCCTCGCAGGAATAGGAGGCCAGGCCTCGGGGCACTTGACAGCCAGCCAAGAGTCCATTGAGACAAAAGTCTTCTTTGATCTGCCGCACAGTTAAAAAAGGAGATTGTTAACCTGTGTTAGACAAATAACTCCAGAGGAGCTGCTAAGCAGGAAAAGCACCAGCTGCTTGGGCTGGTCTCTTGGGGATCCCACCTCTCTTGCAGTGCTCCTCTACCTTCTGACCCCATGGGATTAGGTGGAGGTGATTGATGGAGCTCTGCTTCCCTGTGTCTCATCCCATGAGTGCCCCAAGCCTGGGAGTGTGTGGTGCCCAATCTCAGGACCTGCCAGGCACAGGGCTGGGGCAGGGGCCAGAGGCATGGCTGTTCCCAGGGACAGACCCCAGAGGGAGCAAGGACAAGGCAATTCAGGTTTGCCGCTGCTCTTAGGCCAGCCTTGGCCTTGGTTTACAAGGGTAAAACAAGGAGCTTCACAGACTTGCAGTTGTCACTTGCAGAGTTGCCTTACAAAAATGGGGGAGGAGGACAGGATTATGAGCCGTGTGGGCTGGTGTTACACCATAGCCATGCTGGTAGTATCTGCAACAAGAAAAAACTGGCATCTAAAACTGCTGCCGTGAGCAGGGAGTGGAGTTTATTGCTACAGGCAGTCATCAGAATTACGGCTCCTGAGGGCCTGCGTTTTTCAATCCCTGATTCATATCTGCTCCCCCTGCTCAGTTAGCAAGGTGACACCTCCCAGCTCGCTTCCAAAGTCACCAAGACTCGTAACACCTGCCCACGCTCTCCCCCCAGCAAGTGCCGGAGTTTAAAATAAAGTTCCATTTCCTACATGTATTAAGTGTCAGGAAGGTCCAGGGGCATCTGTGCAGAGCAGCATTTGTACACAAACGCGTTTAGCTGACAGGTGCAAACATTGAAAGCCTGCAATTTCACCACCCAGCACTGAGCTCTGAATGCAAGTACTGGGAAATGCAAATGATCTCTCTTCCAGTAAATGTGTGTGGCACAAGGCAGGGAAGTGCTGCAGAGCCTCTCCAGCACTGGGCTGTTGGTCCCCCTCTTCCTCACGCAGCAGGAGATGTCAGAAGGCATCTTCATTTCACAGCTATTCAGTGATCCCTGAATTATACAAGTCTCTCTCTCGCTGTGCATTCATCACTGACGCTGCTTCCCTCTCCCTCGGAGACTGAGGAAGTAATGCCTGGGGACGTAAAATCTGCTTTTTGCTGCAGGCGGACAGCCAGATCTGTGGTGAGATGTGACAGTGACAGGGGTGGAGCGGGGCAGGAAAGCTGGGTCTGACTGAAGCTGTCTGGTGGATCTGGCTGTGGAGGTTTAGGACACTGGTGTTGTCTGCTCTGCTCTCTTCAGGAGGCTTCTGAACCTCTTTGGGCTGCAGCAACCTTCACATCACTGCATCCCAGTTTAAGTTACAGTATTGGAGGGTGGTCTGGCAGGGCTGAGGAGGGAGCACTCCTGTTGTCCTACTATGGAAGCAAGCGGTGGGTGGCCAAGGACAGGCACGTGTGAGAGAGTGCCAGGCACAAGCAGCCATCCAAAAGTGGCTGCAGGTTTGGGCCAAAGCCCTCAAGGTTTAAAGCCAATGTTTAGCCACCTGCCTGGTGGCTTTTCTCGGCTGTGAGCAGAAGGAAAATGTTCTGCACTGAACGCAGGCAGGGAGGGAATAGCTGTACAGTAGGAGGACCACACACACGCCACCAACTGTCCATAAAAACCCACACGAAAATCCCTGTGTTTCACAGGCACACAAGCCAAGCTCTCCTCTCAGTTACAGGGACATGCGTAGGGCTGCGCCTCAGACGCCATCCAGCACCCGGCTGAAAGAGAAGCTTTTCCACTTGAGTAGCCCTGAATGAAGAGAGCTGGGAGCTAAGCAAACACTTTGGCCAGTACTTTCCTCTGTCTCTTTTTCTAGTCTTTCGGAAGTATGTTTTAATCAGCACTTGCTTTCCCACACCGCTCCTTTGTACTCTTATTAAGTGCTGTCACTGGGGCCCGCTCTAGCCTAGTGCCAGAGTAAAATTCCCAAGAGACCGATGGCATTGCACCTGCCTGCACACACTCTGTATTTGGCCCATTGTCTGATGTTGCTAAACCTGCTTACTCAAGGCTTCTTCTTGCTGGTGTGCAATGACATCCAAACTCCCATATGTTTCTTCCTCCAAATCAGCTCCTCAGCCCATCACCTCCCTGCAGATTTTGTGGTTTCACCGCGGGCTCACGCTGGGGCAGCCTCAGCCGCGAAGGCCAATCTTCATCTCCAACCCCAGCCTTTTTTTTTTTTTCCTTTAAAAAAGAGTATGCAAATGATGTATATTATTGGGCCTCTGTGGTTTGAAAACACGCGCTCGCACACGCACACACACACGATAACTGACAAAGGCCGTGAAGGAGTTTCATAACGGAGGGAAATATTGGGAAGGTTTTATCTGATAGTGTAAGGGAAGTCTGTTAAAACGCCTTTACTGCAGGCAGCAGGAATGAGAAGCCACCTGGAGAAGTCATACACCACCGGAGAAGGAAGCATTGCTGGCTGCTTGCATAGTGTCCAGGGCTCTGCTGCACAGCCGGGGTGATTTTTGGCTTTTTTAGTTTCCTGACAGCTTTGTGAGAGGCAGCGAGAGGGGCTCTCTTGCTTTTCCTTAGGTTTCAGGTTCATGCCCTCACGAGGAATAAAGCTCTCAAGGTTTAAAAGCCAACTCAAGACAATGCATGTCTTTGCATTTAGCTGGTTCTGTCGTGACTCCCTGCTCCCGCTCCACAACACAGTATTTGCAGATCATCTCTCTAATGGTCGTTTCTCCCTCTCTTTTCTTTTTGTCATCTGCCAGGGGGACCCCATACCCGAAGACATTTATGAGATTTTGGGTGGCAGCTCAGTGCGCTCCATCAGTGACCTCCAGCGTGCCCTGCGGATAGACTCCGTAGGTAAATCTCCTCTTCACCAAACACTCCTCTATTTTTAATTAATTCTTTGGTGGGGCTGGGAGGGGATATTCTGTTTTTCAGCAGGCACACTATCAATCGACTTCATTATAAATATGGGAACCATTCAGGAGCCAAGACCTGGCTGTTTACAGACTTAGTCCCCATGAAACTTGTGGGAGATAGAGGCAACTAGATGCTTTTTTAGATCTCCAAACTGTCTGAACATTGTCTTCCAAAATTAGTATGAGACGGGCAAGGTGGGTGCAAGGAACTGAGCCCACCATTCTTCACCCTGGGAGATGCTCAGTCAGCAGGGCTTGAATCGGACAAGGATCATTTTAGGAGGCAGCAAAACAGGAGGTGGAAATAGGGCGGCAGGGGAGGAAAGGGCTGAGTGAGTTTCCAGGTTTAGCATCCACAGCAGGCCGCGGGCTCCCAGAGGCTCTTAGGGCGAGAGCAGCAGAGCACGTGTCCATGGGTGAGCTACGGGACAGGGGCTAAGTCAGGGTAGCGCGGCTTCACCTCCTGCCCGTAGATAAGAGCTCCGGGGGCTGCAGGGCCTCGGGGTCACTTGGCCAGGGCTGCGTGCAGCGAGCAGCAAGGAGTGGCGAAGCGTGGAGGGGTCGGCACGTGTGGGAACCGGAGCACGCGCCACGGCGGCTGGGCTGGCCCAGGAATTTATTTATAAACGCTCTCTTCAGAGCAAATTCCTTTCTATTCTAACCCTGCTCCCGCCCGTCGTCCCCCAGCCCCCCCAGCTCGACTGCTCTCTCGTGTTTTGTCTGTTTTGAGCTTTGTAATCCTTGCCGAGACACTATCTACGGGGGAACAGAATTTCCTGCTTTTGTTTCCTATGCCAGTCCAACCACTGGCGCAGTCTCAAAAGCATTCCCGCTGCCTTTCAAAACGGCCCTGGAGGGGCAGGGGGGGAAAAAGAGGGGGAGGGCACCAGCTGCGTTCAGCTATTGTTTGTCTTAGAAAGAGGCGACGAGGCTCCCCACCACTGCCAGGGCCTCTCCCTGCCTTCACCAGTTCCCTCCTCCTTGCCCACGAGCCACACAATGGGGCAACTTCCAAAATTAGCCCTGCTGGATTGTCCCAGGCTGGTCTCCCCCGCCCCAAATGTCTTCAGTACTGACCTGGGGTGTAGAAGGACAACCTAGGGGAGGAAGGGACATGATTCTTAACAGATTTGAGTCAATAGTTGTTGCTATTTTTTGCCCCCATTTCTCCCCTCTCATCAACTCATGCACCAAAGGCAGCCCCCACCTTCATTTGATGAAACGCCACAGGATGGAGGGGTGGGCAAGGAGCAGCTGAGAAGATGCATCCAATCTGCCATGGCCCAGTGTCTAAGGAGCAGATACATCTCTATTGTAGCTATTAATCAGCCTCATGATTAAGAAATAAAATAGGCTTATCTGGTTGGCTCCAGAAGCCCAGGGGTATGAGAGAAGGCTGCAGAGCTTTGAGTCACTGGTTTCACTTCAGGTCCCAGATAGGAAAAGCTGGTCAGGGAAACAAAAAGTGGTGCTGTATAGCTGTTTCTTTGTTTCACCCCCCTGGCTCTCATCTGTTCCCAGGTACTGACTGAGGGGCACTGACATTTGCTTGCCCTGTGAGGAATTAGCAAATTAGTGTGTTAGCAAAATAATACCAAAGTGGCTGGAGCTATTCCCTGCGCTGTCTGTGCACCCTGTGCATCTCCCAGCTGCTTCCCTCCACTGAGTGCACAAGGAGCCAGAATGAGGCAGCTCCAGGAGGCAGATGGGCCCGAGAGAGTTCTCTCCTGAGCTTGGGCACTACTGCAGACCCAGGAACAGAAGTGTGTAGAGTGGAAGTCATCTCTTTTAACTGTGGCTGACCACAAAGCAGTAGCTGCCCATGTAAACCAGTCATCCAGACACCTTCTCTAGCCCAAAGAGAACTACAGGCCCTTCTACAGCGTAACCTACCAGTTCTCATTTTGGGAGTTTGCCTGAGGGTGGGACAAATGGTGCCTAGAATTGATCCCACCTTTCCAGCCACTTTAAAGGGTGTCTGTCTGTCCACATCACACGTAGATGTTGACTGCTCATTGACAGGCACATGATTCCTGTCTTGTGAATGCAGCCTCTGTGCACCCATCCCCAGTCCATCATCATCTGCTTGAGACTTGAGCAGAGAGCAAAGTCCCTGCTCCCCTTTATGAGAGGGCTGCACTAGGGCAGGGCTGAGGAAGAGGAATGGGACATGATAGGTAAGGGAAGTCTGCTCCACCACACATCTGATAAACAGAGATCTTCCACAGGCCCCTAATTCCCTTTAAGAAAATTGCTCCCTTGATGCTGACGTCCATTCAGTTTCCTTCAGCTGCTAAAGCAGGTCAGAGAAGGAAAGAGCTGTGGCTGGGTGGGAGCTATCTTCGAGCGCAGCCATTGTCCCGAGCTCAGGAGGGGCTGCGTGTTGGAGTGCTCCATGGGGATTATGGGCATTTCTCTATTCAGCACTTCCTATGGGAAAAAGCAGTGGGGTGGGAGGGGACCGCTTAGGGCTGGCCTGAATGCTATCGGTCTTCCTCTCCCATCGCTGACTGAACCACCTCCAGATCCTGCCTCTTACCTTAGAGTAGCCTAGAGGAAAAGTAATTTTAACTCTATTTTTCTGTTCTTCTGTTATAAAACTGCTCTAACCTAGAGCAGCTGAGTTGGGAGAGGGAAAGCAAGCACCCCACCTACCACCCATCCCCTGCTTCACCTGCCCTATCACTTCCCAGCTCTCTCAGTCCCAAGCAATCCCAGCAAGGCACCTCAGTGTTAAACACCAAGTGTTCTGTTTGTCCCGTCTGGTCTTTGATCCTCCTTGGTGCAATCCTCGTCTCAGCTGGCCAATCTGAATCCCTCAGCAGCTCCTCTCTGACACCAGAAAGTCCTGACATGGGCCTTATCTTTCTTGAGCTGGAGTTTTCCTCTCCTAGACCTGACTGGGTCCCCTCTTTCATGATAGGCTTGTTGCTCTGAGCTGCCTCGTCTGAGCAAAGAGTATCTCTGCCACAGCACGGCTGTGACCTTGTTTGTGGATTCACACCTAGCATGACGTCTTGGGTCCGTGGCTTATCCCATGGCCCTGCACTTAGCCTGGTGATCTGAGCATGAGTGCCTGCTGTCTTCTCCTGCCTCTCCCTGGTGCTATCGGTTCATGTCTTACCCTTTGCAGAGCAGGATGGCTCGAGCCTGAACCTGAATGCAACTCAGCCCGATCAAAACCCTGCGGCCCTGTCTCGAGAGCGACGAAGCCTAGGTGAGCTGGGGGTCTTTCACCTTGTGTTTGTTGGGGCACTCACCTGAGCAGCCGCGGGTGGTCCAGATAATTGTCTAAGATACAGATGTAGGGGGAGAGGTTTTATTGCACCTGTATGTGTGGAGACATGAGAAGGAGGGTCTGGGCCTGGAGTGGGAGCTGGGTGTTTCACCCTGGGAGAGCAGGAGAGGGAGTCTGGACTTCTGTGCACTGCTCTGCCTTAAATCCTGATGGTGCTTGCTTGCACTAAAGTTTCATCTTCTGCCTGAGCTGCAGTGAGAGGCATCATCGTACAGGGGTTTCCTCCACAGGGCATGGCTCTGTACAGGGAGCCAGCTGGAGGGGTGGGAGAGAGAGAAAGAACATGTGTGTGTGTGTGTGTGTGTGTGTGTGTGTGTGTGTGTGTGTACATGTGAGGGCCATGTGGGGTCCTTGCCTTGCAGCAGAGGTGGCTGTAGTGGCTTGGTGACAGCTGCAAAGCCCGTTCCATCCCGTCTCTCTCTTGGCCCTCCTTAGATGCTCTGGCAGCAGCAGAGACAGCTGTCCTCGCGGAGTGCAAGACACGGGAGGTGGTCTTTGAAATCTCCCGCAACATGGTGGACAGCACCAACGCCAACTTCGTGGTGTGGCCGCCCTGCGTGGAGGTGCAGCGCTGCTCTGGGTGCTGCAACAACCGCAACGTGCAGTGCCGCCCCATGCAGATCCGCGTCCGGCACGTCCAGGTAGGGGACACGCCTGCCACTGCTTCCTCCTCCTGCTGCCCACCGCCATCCCTGTGCCCCAAAGCCAAAGCCAGGGCGGGTCCCAGGTGCTGGGCTCACATGGCCGCCTGTCCCCTCTGCACTGGCCACGCAGCGCTGCGGCTGCTGGCATGGGTGATGTCCGTGCCAGCTGCTGGAAGGGCTGGTGCTGTCCAGCAGCTGGGGACTGTCACCACGCAGAGCCACAGGGCACTGTCCCCAGCTGCAGCTCTGTGCCACAGCCCTTCCTGTGGCTCGAGGCGGCCTTGTCTGCTGTGTTAGAGCAGAAGAAATGAGGTTCTTTCATCGCGGGAACTGGCTTTGATGCAAAAGGCGGAGGGTTTGCAGTGTCAGTCTCCATCCCTCCACGGCTGCTGCAGCTTCTTTCCAAGATGTGTGCTGGAACAGCTTCTCTTTCTCAGCCCACACTTACCTTCTGACCTGCTCCATCAGCCAGCAGACACCTGACAGCTAACCTCTTGCTCTGATCCTCCCCTCACAGCTACCAGTGATCTCCTCACAGCTTCCTCCCAGACAGCTTGTTTAAAAATGATATTCATCCCATACTAATCCTCTGCCTGAGCCATAAGAGACTCCCCCAGGCAGGCAGCAGAGGTTGGCTGGGAGAGATTGTATTCACACACAGCCCTTTTCATCAGGAAATTCCTTTCTCAGAAAAGCCAGGCTGAACGAGGAAAAAATGGGGGTTGTTTTTCTGGAAAAAAACAAGTGAAAGGTCAAAAGCCAGCCTGAAAAAGTGACCTGGAAATGGTTTCTTTGAGGACAGAGGTCTCTCTATTGTTTGGCTGGAAGTGTTTGTCTAGCGAGCAGCGTGTGGTCTGAAGCGTGTGGAGTGGGCTTTCAAGGAAAGATAAACAGCCTGGCTGCTTTGGTGCTGGCCTAGGGATGCTGCTGGGGGCAGTGGGTTTAGAGGAATTCCATCCCAGATGGAGAGCAGAGTGAGTATTTATAGCTTGTGGAACACTTCAGGGACCGCAGGGTTGTTAGATAAGCTGAGTGGGGTCAGGCCTGGCTGCTGATGGAGTGGGAGGACCCCCTAGAAAGCTTGTGCCCTGTGGTGGGATGTGGAGCAATGAGTCTTGCCTCTGAGTCAGCACTGGTGGAGAGTCCGGGGGAATTTCCAGAGCACCGCCTTTCCCATGAAGAGCCGAGGGCTTCAGCCCTGCAAGTTATTAAAGAGCTTGAGACAAATTCAGACAGGCCTCAGCAGAGCTGGTGAGGCTGTGTCAGCTTGCTTCAGACCCAAGTTCTTCTTTTGCCCTTCCTATAGGTTCCTGTGGGAATTATCCTGGCTGCCCCAGGTCTCTGCCATCGCATCTGTCAGAAATGGGCTAGCATGTCCTGCATGTTCCACGTTTCTGTCTCTGATCAACCAGTCATCCTGCTTTAGCTCTGGCAATAGCTAGGATCAGGGAAACCAGCCAGAGCCATCCAAACCTGCCTGGTCTGGGTCTGCTCTGCTGCCATGTTCAGAAGAGTCTCCCATACACACCACCCCTGAGCCTGAGGTTTGCGTTTGAGTTTTGAGTTTGAACAGGGCTCTGTAAAGCTGCCTTCTGACCCTTTAGGAAGAAAGCCAGGACTAAAGTGCACTGACACTGACTAATTTACTGAGTGGGAGCCGTGGCTGTATTAATCTTTTGCTTGCCTTCCTCTTGCAAATAGGTGAACAAGATCGAATTTGTCCAGAGGAAGCCAAAATTCACAAAAGTCGTTGTGCCTTTGGAGGACCACGTGCAGTGTCGGTGTGAAGCCGTGTTCCGACCACCCCCCAGGAACATCCGTCCAGGGCCACGTGAACAGAGACGTAAGGATCTTGGCATCAGTGGAATGAAGGGAGGGAGGTGTGAGAAGAGGGGCTGGGGAGAGAGAAAAGAGACCTCCACTGGTTTCAGTCTGCTTAGCTCCAGTGAATCCCAAGGGCCTTCACTGCTTTGTACCAGCTGAGGGACCTTTCCCAGGATGTCTGCCTGCCGGGAAGGGGCTGAGACTGAGGGAAAAGAAGGAGGGGAAGGTGAGAGGTGAGGGGAAGGGCATGGTGGGAAAAGGGAGAGGGCAGAGATTGTGGAGAACAGAGGACAAGGAACAGAAGAAAAGAAAGAGGCCTTGTGGCCCTGCTGTTGCAGAGCTCTTTGTTGACAGTGTGTGGAGAAGGATATTTCAACAGGAGCCGTCTGCCCTGGCTGTACAGACACTCTCCCCTCTGTTTTGGCAGGCTTGTCACCAGCGTTCACCACAGCCGCTGTCTCACAGAGGCGGCGAGTACGCCGGCCGCCGGCACAGAAGAGGAAACATAAGAAGTACAAGCATGTCAACGATAAGAAAGTGCTGAAAGAAATCCTCATAGCATAGAAGTGCTGGCAGGGGAGAGAGAGCACAAGGCAGGTAACAGCAAGCTGCTTTTTCAGTCGGGAAAGATGTCCTCTTGGGGCATGGCATCTTAGACCCTTCCCACACCACTGGCCACTTGTTAAGTGTGGGGCTACTGCAGGACCAAACCTAGGCTGAAGGAGGAGGAAGAACTAGGTTGGGTGCCAACGTGTGGGTTCTATGTATGGAATTAAGGCTCTTTGCGAAGTTGGAATGATCCTGCAGCAGCCATCCTTGCTCTCAGGCCCCGCCCTCTCCTTTCTCTGTCTCCCTTTCAGGCAGGGAACAAGACTGACTTCTCCTTACACCTAAATCCCCTCGGAGTCCATGTAATTCATCTCTTCCGTGCAGCAACTCCTGCTCTAGTTTCTCTATTGGTTCTCCATTGAAAACAGAATATTAGTGTTGCTCTAGGGATCCCTTTTCCTTTTATTTCATCAGCTGAGTTGGCAGAAAGACTGAAAAGCAGCAACACTTTTGGTTCACCACTCTCCTAGAGGGAAGCCTATGTGCATGAGAAAGGTCATACCAGGGGAGAGGAGAACTGGAATCTCTGGCAAGAGGTCTGGACTTTGTCAGGCCAGGGTCTGATTCTTCTCTCCATGACTTGTGTAAACAGGAGTAATTCCCTCATCATCAGAAGAATTTCACTGGTACAAGGGAAAGGAGGCTAAGCCTTGGTTCCCCATGAGAGGAAAAGGTGGAAAAAAGAGGGAAAGAGTAGTTAGGGTGCAGATTGGTGGGAGCTGAATTTCAAGAGAGGTGACACAACTCAACAGGGAGAGCCCTGGCCCAGAGCTCAGCAGTTCCAGCTCTGCTGCAGCCACTTGAATAAGCCTGGGCCACCACTTCACATTCACTTCCCCTCACCCCGGGAGAGGGGACAGCAGGCTTCCCCTGGTGTGTGGTGCTTCAGGAGCTGGGGACAAGGAGCACCAGGCAGTGTCTTGAGACTGGGATTCCCACGCTTAGCGCTACAAGGGGTCTGATTATCCCAGGATTCTCCTGGCCATCCTAAAGTTCCCAGGGTAGAAATGATACAAACCCATGCAAATCTCAGCTCTGGCTCAAGCTGTTCAGGGGAAAAAAATAGAGGTCAAAAGTCCTCCCAGGCTTCTAATCTGGCTCCTTGGCACAAATATTTCCAGCGGAGAAAAGAGGATAGGAGGGGAGCTGCAGGGGGAAAAGGGTTACATATTCTAATGGTGTCTGGTTTTGTTTCGCTTCTAGGTTTATTTAATATATTTGCTGTATTGCCCCCATGGGGTCCTTGGAATGATAACTTTTCCTCTTTGTCCATCTGCCTCGACGTCTGATTCAGACGGCAATTGGTGCTTCCCTTTCCATCAGTGGACCTTCTCCCACCAAAGCCTCCCTTTCATTTATTAGCATAATTTTAAAGTTTTACACACACACACACACACAAAAGGACAAGGATGACCTACATATATATATATATATATATATATATATATATATATATATATACCTAAGAGAAAAGAACAAAGTACAAACAAAACCCTGAATGCCAACAGCCAGAACTTGCGATGAGAACAGGACATTTCCTTCCCTGCTTCAGAGGACAGGATGGAAAATGTGAAAAGGAAAGCAGGTCCAATTTCTTTCGAGAGAAGGAGAAAAACAGATGGACAGAGGCCAGAATGGGAATATTCTCCCTTTCCCTCATGCTTCTGATAAGGCTGGGGGGGCCCACTGAGATCTACTCTTGCATTGGACCTACCTTTTGGAAACAGGCAAATCTGAGATTGCGAGCGGCGACCAATGATGGAAAATGCACTAAGGACTTTTATCGCCCTACCTGGACAGATATATATTTTTAACGTGCGTGTGTATATTTTATTTTTAAAAAGAAAAACCAAAACCACTAAGGTATACAACATCTCGGGGAACAGAACAAACAAGCAAACAAACAAAGAAGCCAAATGCATTCCCCCACTCCCTCTTTCCCCTGCTCCTGGTGCTGACTGGAAGGTGTTTGGATCGTGGGGAAGGAGCACACGGTGGCAGAATCGTCTCCACGCCCCCGGCCCCTGCCAAGGGGAGCCATCTTTGCACATGCTGGTGGAGAATTCAACTTTCCAGGCTCGGACTCAAATTATTTTTTAAATTCACTCTGGACGTGTGCGTGTGTATATGTGTGTGTGTGTGTATATATATATATATATATATGTGTGCATGTGTGTGCGTATGTTGTGTGATACATACATATATAAAAAAAAAAATATATATATATATATATATATATATATGTTCTTAAATGGATTTCATTCCCCAGTGGCAGGAAGCTCAGAGGCACGTGCATGCATCGGCTTCACTGGGCTGGCAGAAAAGCACACTGTTATTGAAATGTGCCTGCGAGGCTGGGGATGGGGCAGGCAGAGGCATCATCTGATCTCCCTCTTTCTTGTTACCCTTTTCTCTCACTCTGCACCAACCCCCACCCCCTCCCAGCACAACTTCCTTGCAGGAGGTGAAGTGGCACCACAACAAGACCAAGGACAGCCAAACTTAGAAGCATGACTTAATCTCAGTGAGCTGTCCTTGCCTGCTCTGTGGTCTTGAAAGCAGAATCATGTCATTCCCACGAGGTTTTTAACCCCTTCCTGGATGTCCTGCATACCATGCCTCCACTAATCTTTCCCTGCCAATGTTCCCACATCTCCCATCATTTTCCTCACATTTTCCCTCTCAAATTCCTTCTTGATCTTACCTATTAAATGTTCCCAACCCACTTAGATTGGAAGTTGATCCATGATGTGGACAGCTCTGTGTAGGTACAGAGAAAGAAATGAGGGTGGTCTTCACAATTAGCAGCAGCTGTCTGAGACAGAAATGAGCTCTTCTAAGTGAGGAGGACTGAGAGAACAACTGGAGGGTCAGTTGTAAGGTCGCTCCTGGGCCACCACTCCCTGCCTGTCTTCGAGGAGGAAGGAGGACTGTATGGGCAAGGGCTGGCTTTGCACAGGTAATAGCCAGCAACCACTAGCAGAATGGTTACATATGATGGGAATTCCTAGCATCACCTTGGAGTCAGGGTCTTGGGTTGTGCTGTGCTGGGTGCTGCACACATGAAGAAAATGCCTGCCCAGAGCAATCACATGGCGCTTCTCCCCTCGCACACACACCCCTTTTGTGGGGGAAAGCTCTGGAGGGAGATGGGGAAAGTAGCCAAAGCCACAGCCTGGGAGCTGTTACAAGTTGTGGAGGGACCCAGTTCTCACCTCCTGCAAGCCCAGAGCACTTCTCGTACCGCTGCCAAGGCAGCACGTTGCTCCCTCCCTCCAGCCTCAAGCCCCCAAGTCTTAAGACACTTTCTTACCCTGTTCCAAAATCTGTTTCTTTTGGTTTGTAAATATGGTGAGGTTTTGTCTTATTTTATTTTAATTTTTTGCCTTTTTTTAAAAAATGTAAGATTAATTTATACTCAGTACTGTATTTAAAGTTGTAAAAAAAAAAAAAAAAAAAAAGAAAGAAAAAAGGAAATCACCTCTTGAATATCATTTTCTCTTTCTTTTGTGAGCTGAATGAAAAGCAGAGGCCAAACTAGCTCACTGCAGGGCACAACAGGATTTCCAGGGCATCCAGTTTCCTTTTCAGGACACTTGTTCTGAGATTGCAGAGAGAAGCAACCAAAACGGGGAAAGTCCTGAGAGCCCACACACAGCCCTGCCCACGCTCAGCCGTGCTGAGCTCCTCCTTCCTCACTTGGGCTGGTTTGAAATGACTCAGGTGCTGGGATTTTTGCCTTGAAGAGGTCTCCTTCGCCTCAGTGCTAGGACACCCGGTCAGAATTTCCCTGTGCTTTCATCCCGTCTCCGGATTCCTCTGCTTTGAAGGGCTTGGGACGGTCAGCACTGTTTACACTTCCCAAAGCTGTACAAACAGTTGGCCCCTTCCCTCCTTAGTCACATCGTCTAGACAACAGCAGTCCTTCCCTTGGCCAGAAAGGCCCCTGCATTTCCCTTTCCTCCCAGCAAGGGAGGTATCACACATCTGGCATTTGGGTGCCATGCTGGGGAGCAAAGGCAGGTCCTGCCCTGTGCCTCAATTTTGGCATACCCCCAGCACATGCACAGCGCTCTGAGTCCATGGCTCAGCTGTGAGGAACACAGGTCCGAGCAGAGACTTGTGCTGAAGTGGTGAACCTGGGGACATCAGTGTGCAGGAGTAGTCCAGGATGTCATTAAAGGACAAGCTTGATGCTCACAGGTGTACACCTTGCTGGACATGGTTCATTTTGGAGTGATGACCTGTTTTCTGTGATCCTCCAAAGGGAGGGAGTAATGGTGAGCTCTATCTGCCCCCAAGAATGAAAACACAGGCAAAATCACAATCCCCACTTTGATTTCCAGAGGATAATTCAGGGAAAAGAAAGATTTTTTTTGGCATGAGACTTCTTTGGGCTTGAGGGCCTCGTCAGCAGAGACTTTGAGAAGAAAAGGGTGCAAAGAAGGGTACAAGGCGCATGAAGCATGAGAGCATCATCCTAGACTGGGGAGTGGGAGGAAGAGCTCGGTGTCCCAGGGTCCAGCACACTGCCTGTCCATGGAGGCCCCCAGGCAACCCCATTTTGCAAGTCTCTGTTTCTAACAGCTTGGAATGAGCTGGTGCTGAAAGGCTGTGAGCCATGGCACTCAGAGCCACCCTCTGCCCAGTGCCTGGCACCCATGTGCAGCAGCTGCTTGTCCGGGGACTTGTCCAGGGGCTTGTCCAGGGGCTTGCTCAGATGCTGCTTGCTCACCACAGCACCCTGGTGCGCATTCAGCACAGCTCAGTGTGGAGCACAGGAAGGAGGCACCTGTGCCACTTCTCAAGGCCAGAGCAGGTCATTTACACCCACCCCACAAAGCCAGGCTCAGGAAGTAAATCCTGGCAGCATACTGCTGGAAACTGTCTCCTGCAGCTTGGTGAACCCACTGCTACAGGTGATCTCAGAGGTGCCGAGGAGTTTTGGCAACTGTCCCCAGTTTAATTGCTCAACTGCTGCTTTACCTAAAGGCCCGGTCTCAGGATATGTCATTCAACAGGAGCTTCATCTTTTGATGGAGGAAACACATCCAGCCTTCCAGGCAGTGGAGAGAGGCTGCAGCAATGGATCCTCCCATGACAGCATGGCTCCTGAAAGCGGCACACAGATGGGAGAGCAGGTCTGGGGGCTATTCAGGCACAAGGAGCAAAGCCCTGTGTTCTGGAGCCAGACTTCCTGGCTTTTAGCATTGACAGTGTGCAACACTAAATCTGTTTCATGGGTTAATGACGTGAAAAATCAGTTTGCAAGAACAGGCCCAGGAAAACCCTTGACTGCTAATTTATTGGTACCCAGGAATACAAACAGCTTAAACTCCCCACACACCTGGCTGTGGCTAGAAGGAAGAGCCTTCTCCATGTGCCATGTGGCACAAAGCCCATACAGACATTCTCTGCCTCCCTGCCACGAGCTGTGGCCCCACCATGATGGTCACCGTGTCCTGCTGCCTGACCTGCCCACGATCCAAACCTGGCTGGAGACACCTCAGTGGAAACCAGCGCTTTCCCTCTTTATCCCAGGGTGGGATAGGGATGCGTTGGAGTGTGGCCCCATCTCACTGTCCATGCACCAATATCTGGTGGGCCTCAGGGATGGAGAAGACAGCTACGCCAAGGGAAAGCAGGGTACAAAGAAGGAGGAAAATATGAAGAATTGGAAGCTATTTAGGAAAAAAGCCCACAACAAAAACTCATTGCCTGAGCGTGCAGCTGTTCCTCACTCACCTTCAGACAGCCCGTGACCAAAGGGTGCTGCCCCTCCCTGATCCATGATCTGCCCATGACCAAGTGAACTTGTTTCAGGCTTGGGAATTTCCCATCTTAAAAGACACTGCAAGGAAGCCAGGCAGCCTCATCTGTTTGTGGATTTTGTCACAGGGCAGAGCCCCGCAAAAACTGAGTGCTAAGAGGAGCAGGAGGTAACCCCAGAAGCTGTGGCCTCCCTGCAGGGAGTGCAGACACAGGGTTAACACAAGGAGTTAACAGGCACAGCAGTGGATCCTGGCAGATGAGCCAGGAGATTAAAGATACCAAAATATAAAGTTATGGCAGGGCTCACCTACTATTTTTCCTCCGCCAGTCAGGCAGATTCCAGATAAGACTCTGACATGATGGGCTGCCTTGGATTCATGGCAAAGTCTGGAGTAAAGGCAGCCTCAAGGGAATCAACCCCCTTTTTTTATTACTTTTTTATTACTATCTCAATAAAGCTGTTTGCAAGGGATTAAGCAGCAACCCAAGCACGGCAGGGACCCAGGCAGCAGGGAGGTTTGTGGTTTGACAGTCAATGCACTTTTCAAAATGTTTGCTGTGAATTTTTTTTTGCACATGCTGCAAAAATTCAATGGATGGTGCAGAAACTCCAGGCAAGCAGCTTGGCCATAGGTCTTGTCCAAGCAGCTTTGGAAACTCCCAGGTTCCCAAATGTCCCGACCTTTGGCCCAGGCCAAAGCTGGCCTATGCAGTCAGTGAAGGCAGTCTCTGGTCCCCAAACCCAGGCCCTGCTTGGCTGTTTCTTGCATGAAAAGAAATGATTTTTCAGCAGGAATCTCGGCACAGACTCAGAGCAGAGGAGATGGTGTCAGCTACTGCTGGTCTCCTCAGCTGTGAGCAACAACATCAGAGACAAAAGCAAATGAGGTCAGCACAGGAAAAGTGCTGATGACTGAACCAAGGTGTGCTCCCAGAAAGAAGCCCTTCCTCACACCTGCATCACCCCCACGGAGGGGATTTCTGGACTCCCCAGGCCTTGGGTGGGGATGTCAGCAGGCTTCAGGACACAGCATGTTGGGAGGGAGGGTGCTGAGGAGAGCTGACTTGGGCATGCTGGGGTGTTGGATTCTCCCAGAAGGGAGGGCAGGGGGGTTTGCCGTGACACTGCACACACTGGTTTGATGTCTGTGAGGAAAAGTTCTGGGAAGTGCCTGCATTTCTGCAGGGTGCCTGCAATGCCTCCTGACCATTTCTCATGGCGAGGGGCTGTGCAAAGTGGCCTGCGCCTTTAAAATCTGCAGAGGTGTTATTTAGGTGGAAAAAATGTTTCACCATGACCATGGATATTGTTTGTTTTTCAGTAATTGACCGAGTAGACAGAGAGAGAGAGAGAGAGAGGGAAAGAGAGAGGGAGAGGGAAAAGA